AGGAGCTACTCAGGGACCCCACAGTGTCATGTAGGGGGTGAGAGGTGTTGTCCATGATGGATGTCAGCTTGAGAGAGGTATTGAGCATAGTTGCATGTAATACAATCAGTTTTGGCTACTAAGAATTGAAAGTTTCATCTGATCAAAGATTGACATGATCATAAGACAAGATCTTTATTAATATATCTGTGTCTCCACTCCTTCAGGTGAATGGTAGGAACTTGCTGTCTGTGGATTACGATCGCACACTACGGACAGAGAAAATTTATGATGACCACAGGAAGTTTCTGCTGAAGATCATCTATGACACCCAAGGTCATCCAACACTCTGGGTTCCCAGCAGCAAACTTCTGTCAGTTAACTTGACATACTCCAGGTAAGCCGTTTTGCACCAGGGTATTTATTATTTTAGGCAGTCCAACCACCTACTTCACCCAACTACATAAACCTCTAACATATAGGTTAATAAGTTGATAGACCCGTGGCATTGGGCACTGAAACAAAGTCCAACAAAGTTTCAGTTTAAAAAAAGAATAGTCTCAGTATTTTTACTGTATGCATTACTTTTAGACTAGAATAGAATAAAGTACACTGGGAGACACTTTTGTCTATAGTAAGAGGCTTTTTATCAATATAAAACTTCACTTGCCACTGAATATCACTTCTAATGGGAACAATTCAATTCAATTCAACAGTGATGCTGATGAATTGCTGTCAGCTGCTTTCAAAGTACATCACAAAGGTGACTGCCAATGATCTCAGACCTTAGTCTTCTCTTGTTCATTGACAGAGAAAATGTTTCGTTATGTAGAGCCAAATGAACTGAGCCATGGTGTCCATCTTGGGAAATGTGGATTTTTCCAAACCCCTGTAGAACTCTGACAGTGAGAACTGCTGGTGGGTAGAGTGTAATCCCATTGCATTTCAATTAGCTCCAACTGCACGTCTTCCTACATTCCTTCCACATAAACAGAGAATGGCTTTGAAAACAGGTTCATGTCTTTCTCAATGGCAGCAAAATCTTGAAAGTTCTGTGATCATAATGTGAGGTCACATATTTCCCCCATTTCACAGAAATGTTGGTGTTTGGGAAACTGGAGATTCACCCATTGTGCACTTTATTAGGTACACCTGTACAATCTAATTCAATCCAATACAACATCTCTGACATTATTTTTTACTCCTACAATGCTGATAAATTCTCTTTTTTTAATACTGTCAGACAGGTGACAATTCTACTTCATGTTTATTATTGAGGTTGTAGAGGGTGGTAGTATTAGTACTGGAGTGCAATATAGTGAAGTTCTAACATTTGATTTGACCACCCTGAGGGGACAAAATATTAGAAACACTGGGCTGGCAAAGCCTGTTTTGTAAAGAAAAAGTGTGTAAAGAATGTGCCTATAATGACACCTGTTGTTAACAATAGGAACTGCATTTTGATCTAACCATTTAGATTTAATTTTGGTTGTAAAGTAACTCATGGGCAATATTAATGAAGGTTCAGGCTACATGTGTCCCATGGGTCATAGCTTGGACACCCTTTGTCATACAGTAGGTTTAAAAATCTCCTGAAACTGTTAAGTTACTACTAAAGGGAACTAAAAGGCTGTTGCAATAATGTTGTTAATGGTCATATTAGACCTACCACCTACCACCTATACAGTTTTTGCTGGAAACACATGACTTGAAAATGACATCCTGATATTGACCAGATATCAACCTTCCACAGAGTCTTATATTTGTGTGTGTTTGTCCAGCACGGGGCAGGTGACAGGCCTTCAGAGGGGCCCAACCACAGAGAGGTGGGAGTACGACAGTCAGGAAAGAATAATTTCCAGAGTCTT